AAACCCCACCCAGAGTAGTAAATGCACACTACCATAAAATAATGTAAGATTACTAATCTAAGACATTTAACCACTTGATGCAGACTTCATCCTGAGATGGCACAACTTGCTGAACCCTTCAGGTTATACAGTCTTCTGCTGGCCCTTCTTCCCGATCAGAGACTTGTGGATGTGTGGGATCACGCCTGAAAAAAATCAATGTTATAACGGTTTATATACTTGAACAGTTAAGTTTTAATTTCAGTAACCACTTTCAGCTGCTCCCTTGTAACAAAGAGTTGCTACAACAGTGTTGATGTTACAGTTTTACACCTGATGCAACACAAAAGGGATTTGTGCCTCAACAAAGTGTGTAAACCACTAGAGTACGAGAGTATAAGACCGTAACACAGTTCTCTGTAATGTTCGTACCTCCGCCTGCAATAGTGGCCTTGATAAGTGAATCCAGCTCTTCGTCTCCTCTAATAGCCAGCTGCAAGTGGCGTGGGGTTATACGCTTTACTTTAAGGTCCTTTGATGCATTTCCTGCCAACTCTAGAACCTGAAAGAGACACAGCCTTTACAAAAAGATCAACACCTCAAGCAACGAAGTGCAAGATAAACGGAGCTTAGGGTCACCTCAGCAGTAAGGTATTCGAGAATAGCCGCGCTGTACACCGCCGCGGTGGCTCCTACTCTGCCGTGGCTCGTTGTTCTGGACTTGAGGTGTCTGTGGATACGGCCTACCGGGAACTGCGGGGATAATGACACGAGTGAACAGAAGCAAAGCCGTGCTGGCCGCCCGATGAGAGCCCGCCACCGACAAAGAGCCACTGACTTTTGGCTAATAGCGCGTGCTTGCGCAGCCGAGAAATTGAATGAAATTTGGGGACAAACCTGCAGTCCTGCTCTCTGAGAGCGCGAAATCGCTTTGGTCTTGGTCTTTCCAGAGTCTTTACCAGCTTTACCACCAGCCTGTAAAACACCAGTACTGTTAGTGTGCCTCCGCCGAAACGCGCCTTATTGTAGCCCAACATTAACTTAAGGTCCGCTTAATATTCGCTAGCCATGCTAGCG